AAGCAAGGCACTAGAGCAAAGAGACAGAAATATAAGCTTAGCACCCATCTTTGAAAGCAGTTCACCTAAGGAATATAGTGTCTTTGAGGATATGCAGAAATTGGCCACATGGAAGGGAAGTCATTTTTAGCAAAAGAAAGTGTGCAAAAGGGATGACTGTAAGAGGGTGCTGTGTACATGGTCTTGCTACTGAATTTTAGGAGATAATGCTGAGATAATGTAGCCGGGACTTCAAAGGGAAAAGCCTTTGTTGTTCAGAGTTAAGAAATCTGGGCTTCACTTGGGAGTAAGAGAACCTCAAAGACAGTTTTTCACACAACAGCTGATATAATCACCCAACACTTCAAAGAACACACAGTGTGGATACACAGAAAAAGGTAAGGCTATAAACAGAAACCATGAGGAGTGCAAGGAAGGAAGGAGACAATGCAGTGTTTTGTGGCGGAGAGAAAATGGGTGAAATAGGGTAAAGGATGGGGTCACGAAGGAGGGACCAGGAGTAAGCTGGCTGTGTGTCTTGCTCTTGAAGGCAAAGCTTACCCAAAGTTAAAAATCAAATGTATAAGCAGGGCACTAGAGCAAGGAGACAGAAGTATAAGCTTAGCATCTGTCTTTGAGAGCAGTTCACCCAAGGAATGTAGTATCTTTGAGGATATGCAGAAATTGGTCACACAGAAGGGAAGTCATTTTTAGCAAAAGAAAGTGTGCAAAAGGGATACACTATAAGAGGGTACTGTGTACGTGGTCGTGCTACTTACCACCTGAATTGGAACTTCTGAGCGAATGCTCCCTCAAAATGTGGAAGAAAGGAAATATGGCAAGCCAGTGAAGTGGCTCTCTGAATATTCCTGGCTGGCTGCATTCTGACCTGAATTGAGTTTGAGGCCAGATATTTGAGGGGTGAAGGCACTTGCCTTCCAAGTGGCCTATTTTGGTTGGATCCTCAGCACTGTGTATGGTTCCCCTGCCTGTGATCCCTGAGCACAGAGTCCTGAGCACAGAGTCCTGGGGTGAGGCATTTTCCCCAGCCCAAAGAGTTTTTACATTTATAACTCCTGATAACTAATGTATGGCTATTTTAAAATTTTTTAAAAAATAAATATTATAACAGATTCATTCCTATAATATCTGTTTAAGAAACAGCAAAATATTTAAAGGTAGAAATAATAAAAACCCAGAAAGAAGGAAGCTTTTTGAGGTAGATCTTATTGGCAAACTCTGAAGTAGTGGTTAGGGGATGAGGAAACTTATAGTCTAAAACAAACAGGTAATTCTGGTGTGTGTTCACAGTTTATCTCTCAGGATTTCAAACAAATTGAAGGGTTACACGTGATGATTTAATAAATTGATTGAGCTCAAAGCAGATACCAAATGAAGTAAACCAAAGAACTGAATCTACAAGTTAGGACGTATTCCAAAATATTCACCTCAGCCTTTCCATCAGTCTCATTTCCACTAAACAACTTTCCCAGGTCATTCATACTGTGATGTCCAGCTGCTTTTTGTCTTCTTAATACCCTTCTCTAATTTAAAGTTTTTAAAAAATTTTAAATATCTGGTATGCAAAGTGAATGCTTCTTGTGTTCCTAATTTATGTTTTTTGAGTTGAACATCTTTTATCAAAGATTTTTTTAAAAATCAATTTTTTTTAACCAGTGATTTGATGGACTCCAAGGAGAAACACAGGACAAACTTAGGGTTCCCATTCCAATGTATTATTAGAAATAAATGAAAATTCTAACAAAAATGAGTATGGGATTTAAATATATATATTATATATATATATATATATATATATATATATATACAAATCAAATCACTGTCCTCCCGTTGTTCATTGATTTGCTCGAGCGGGCCCAGTAACGTCTCCATTGGAGACTTTGTTGTTACTGTGTTTGGCATATCGAACACGTCACCGGTAGCTTGCCAGGCTCTGCCGTGTGGGTGAGATACCCTCGATATACATACATACATATATATATATATATATATGTAAGGTAAAAAGGTAAAGGCCCTCCCGTTGATCATTGATTTGCTCGAGCGGGCCCAGTAACGTCTCCATTGGAGACTTTGTTGTTACTGTGTCTGGCATATCGAATACTCTTGGTAGCTTGCCGGGCTCTCCGAGAGGGGCGGAGGAATCGAACTCGGGTCGGCCATGTTGGCCGCTTGTAAGGCGAACGCCCTACCCACTGTGCTATCGCTCCAGCCCATATATATATGTGTATATATATATACACACACACACATATATATATATATATATATATATATATATATATATATATATCCTTCTCTTCTTCTCCCAGGCAATTGCTAGTTCTTCACATCACTATTGCTTACAGTTCTGGTTTTCCAACTTTTCTCTACTCTGAGTAAAATAAAACATTTGCCACTGGAGAGAATTCAAAGGGAGGGAGCACACGCCCTGCCTGGGAGCATCAATCCCATCACTGAAGGGTCTGTGAGCACCAAGGCCCCAGCACCACTACTGTGTGGTCCCAAACCCAAATTATTGACTTGCCATTTTCACTAGTATGACAGGCTCAAGCAACACAGAGAGCATTAATTTTGTGATTTGATTTTAGATTTACAGACTGAAACTAATTAGGTTGCCTTCACCTCTTAACCCTCTCAATATCCTTCAGACAAGAGAAACCCAGCAAAATTCCATCCATGTTACCCTACAGACTATAGCCTAAAGGTATAGTCTGAAAAACCAACAAGTTCTTTTACTTTTCTTGTAAAACTAAAAAGTCTTTCTACTTTGTAAAGCTTTCCACCAAGACTAGTCAGTTTCACAAAGCCACAGCGAACAACATAAGCTTTAGTTGAAATGTCTTTAATTTTTTATTTTGGGGGGATTTTTACGTGTTAAAACATTTTGTTAAGAATGCGTGAGTGAAAAGGGGTTGGAGCAATAGTACAGGAGCAATAGTACCGCAGGTAGGGTATTTGCCTTGCATGCAGCCGACCCAGGTTTGACTCCCAGCATTCCATATGGTCCCCTGAGCACAACCAGGAGTAATTCCTGAGTGAAAAGCCAGGAGTAATCCCTGTGCATCCGCCGGGTGTGACCCAAAAAGCAAAAAAAAATAAAATAAAATAAAATAAAATAAAATAAAAATTAAAAAAAAAGAATGCTTGAGTGGAAAGAGAAACGAAAAACAATAAATAACTTTTTCTAACAGTCCTTAACTTTGCCTGCAATGCTTGCACAGTTGATGTTTCTCCTTTGATTCGTCTGACTGGCTGCTTCTTTGAACCACAAATACTGATAGGGAGAAATACCCAGAGCCACGGAGGGCTACTCCGTACTCTGTGCTCAGGAGTTGGTCCTGATTAAGCTCAAGATGGGTGCTGGAGACGACCCCAGGCTTTAACACGCAATGCATATGCTTAGTTCCTTGATCTAGCTCTCTGATCCCCAGATGCTTCTAGGGTTCTGAGCTGACCTCTATCCATACCTGTTCACAGAGAACAGTAAAGATAGAACAGCAAAAGCTACTGATGCTTCCTTGGTGGTATAATAAATACCTTTTCCCCCAGGGTGGAGAAATTAAATAAATTCCTTTCGTTCACTGAAGCTAGTGAAAGAGCCAAAGAACTAAGGGCTTAATTATGTAGCTACATATATTCTACCTGGGGCTCCCCTTCCTCAATTATATTTTTGCAGGAGGGAGACACCCAGCACTACTCAGGGGGTCGCCAGAGTACCAGGATATCGACTTGTGTGCCAGTGTATGGAGCAACTGGTCACAAAGGAATCTCCCTGGCTCTTTCCTCACTTTCTTTGGGCAATTCAGTTAACAAAAATGAGTTGTCTGATGATTATAGGTCATACTACAGAAGGGAAGAAAGTTAATTTTTTTCTATTTCTAAAGTATTTAAAATAATACATAATTTACTTAAACTTCAAAACATTCTTTTAAAAACTGAAACAGTTTTTCAAAAGGGAAATAAGATTCTGCTTAAAGGGAAATATTTATTTAAATAAAAGAAAATATGAGTCTATTAGCCACAAGATGGTGCTATAATTCCAAGATGATACTGGTATTTTAGAAGTCAACTGAGATGACAGACATTTCACTAATTAAATCTTAAGTGTTACATATTTTGGTAATTAAAAAAGTAAGTTAGTTTAATAAATTTATAAATACTGACACTAATAAATTCAAGGTTCAATGTTCTTAGAAATTATTTCTATTTAGACTTACAACTTAATGTGGCAAATATAAACTTGCACACAAATACATGAATAAATCAGATATGATCAGATGATCTATATAGCAATCAGACATTGTAAAAACACTCCTTTTTCTTTTGAAGAATAGAATGCAGATCAAAGATGAGGTTTATTTCTGAATATTTTATGTAAAAGTTAAAAAAAAGATTTTAAAATGAATTTTATTTTTTTTAATTTAACTTCAGGAAGACCTTTCTCTCTTGAGACAAATAAGTAAACTCCCATCATTTAAGAAAAAAAAAATCCAACGCCCTAACTGAGTATCTTGTAATACTGCACAGCCACCATCTGTGTCTGACGGCTGGGCCGGGCTGGTCTTAAAATGTGTGACAGAGTGTGGTACTACAATACTCAACACATTCTCCAGCAAACTCTCCAACCGGCTTTTCAAGAAGGATCAGACCCATACTCTACCCCCCAGATTGGGATGCTTTTTGACATCTGACTCAGCATAAAATAGCTGTATTTTCGCTTGAATTTTCAATGAGTGTTTTGAACTGTTCATTACAACATATTCGTCAGGACAGATGGCAATATGGTATGTGTGAGAGCCTCCAGGGTACAATACACAGGACCCTGCTGAAACGTTGCCAACAGGGTGTAAACCACGGTCCTCAAGTCTGGACTTTAAAAAACATTATTACTTAGCACACTGCCAACAAGGTCAACACGAAACAACGGGACTGTAATGACTGTTCTGTAAAAGAAATGGACGGGGACACAGGTTTCCCAAGAAAAGTGACACAGAATAATCCTGGAACAAAAATAGATCATATTTATTCAGTACTGGGTGGAAAAGCTCTTATGTCAAGTGGAATTCAAATTCTTCATAAAAATATTGTAGTATATTAAAATTTTATATTAAAATGTACAACATGTACAGAAATCAAAGTCCCAGGGAAGCTATGAAGCAATTTCTATAATTAGTGATTTGGAAATTTCAGTAATTCTGCAGTTTCCTCAAACCTACAACATAAAAAGAAATATATTAATAATTCATAGTGAATCACAGGATTGAAATGTTTTTGACCTTAAGATAAATGTATTTTTTTATTTATAGGTCCAGTTAGTGATAATAAATTAATGATACTGTAGGCAGAAAAACAACTAGAATTATAAAAATTTAATTCTTGAAGCATGTGATTTCAGTATTCCCCAAATTTCAAAGTATTAATATTTTTATATAGTACATGGCATAATAATCTTAATTACATGTTGTATTTCCTTTTAACTGTTCTCTAAACAAATCATTCTTTTGTAATTTTACTTTTAGAGTAGTTGATGTTAGTTTATTTTAGAGTATGCCATTTAGTTCATTTTATCGATAACTTTCTGAAAAATACTAGTAATACTTATAAAAAACTTGAAAGGATTAAAATTATCCATCTACACGTATTATTTAACATCTTGGTATATAGCTATATCGGTGATCAAAATAGAGATTGCTCAACTAAAAAAGATCTCTGCACTCTCTAACCCACAGTTAATTCCATCAACAATGTTTCACATCCCTTGTTAGAAACCAAAACAGTGACTCATCTCACAAACACAGAACTGGAGGTGGATTTATTATGCACTGGAGTCCTGAAGGAAATTCCACACCTGATTGAGAGGCCTTTTAAGGTCTGAAACACACATGCACAGCCCACATACATTGTAATCCAATCCAATTCCCTACAGACAAGTGAATTTCTGTTGCCCCTATCCCTTTACTTACATTTTTTTCATCCTTTCCATTTTCTGGATTGCTGTTTCCTTAAATTTAAAAAGCAACAAACTTAGCTGATTGTGCAAAGCAAACCATCACCACAGATGCACCACCAATATACTCAACTGAGTCTAAAACTTCAGGAAATACTGTTTACTTATCACACAGAACTTTTAGGAGAGATTAAGATTTCTACTTTCACTATTTCCCTTGCCAATGACATCTACAACCAAAGCCAATGCTTGCTTGTTCTCCTGACCTCAGGAAGGAAATCTCGAAGCAGTTGGCAGTTTTTCTTACCTCTGAGAAATCTCTCACACCACAGTAAGTCACAGCTGAGTTCCTTGGAGCCATAACCAATGGGGAAACTGTACAACAGAACAGAAGAACTGTTAGCCTTTCTTTTTTCCTATTTGTAGAGAAAGTAATTTTTGGAATGTTATTTCTTTTCCCTGGAGAAGCAAGCATTTAAAACTTTACGTATAGATGAGGAAAATGATTGTTTATATTGAGTCAATGAGTATGATGATCATAAAATGACTAGGATAGATCCAGATAAGTCAAAATATATTTAACAAAATAACCGACCCTCAGAGACCTGAAAGTTAAAACTGGCCAAAAAAAAATTATAAAAGGTAATGTCTACTTAATGATAGCAATCAACTGCATAAGAGGGTAAGATGATCATTCCTTTGCACATATACGTCACTAACTTACATATAAAATATATAAAAAATATATTTTTTTAAGTAAATGGTGGGAACTGTCTCACTGTCAGTGAGACATAACGAGGGTACGGCATTGGCATTGCATGTAGCTGACTTGGCTTCTATATATGTCCTGGTATCACATATGTCCTCTTGCCCCACCAGAAATGATTCCTGAGCACAGAGCCAGGAATAAGTCCTGAGCACCACTGGACATGGCCCTCAAACAAAAAAGATGATGCAACAGTTGGGTTTCTTTGGTGGAAGGTGGGTGTTGGGCCACAACCAGTGGTGGTTGTGCTCAAATACCATTCCCGGCAGTACTGGACTATCATATGTGGGGCTGGTGGATAACAGCACACAAGGCAAGGGCCTAACCCCTGTGCTATCTCTATGGCCCCAAATAGTGGAAATTATGGTAATAACTGACACATAATTTTCAAAAATCAAGAAACAGTCCACCCCGAATGATGCAGATGTTAAAAATAATGTTCAAAATTCAGGTTCACCGATTTTTGTTTCTCCCCACCTCATTTTTTGGTAGTGTTAGAATTAAACCTGGAAGCTCCCACCTATAAGGCAAGAATCCTGCCACAGAGCCACATTCCCCATTCCCAGAGATCCTTTTCCCCAAAGAACTGGGCAGTGATCCATTTCCTGTACCCTAATGTTACTCAACCAACAAAATGAGAGCAAATCTTTCCTACAACTGAATCAGTGACAGAAAGCTGCAAATAAAGCCTGCTCCTGCTGAAGAAACTCCTGAGCCCTATGTTTTCGTCACGGCACATTTGGCAGCCAAAAAAAAATAGAGAGAGAGAGAGAGAGAGAGAGAGAGAGAAAATCAGACAGCCATTTAAACTGGTTTACATAGAGTTTTATTGTAAGCCTCCACAGACAACCTCAATTAGGGAACAAAGTATTACCACATGAGGACTAGAACAACAAAGACTTTTGCTTTCAACTCGCAGGGACACCTCTTGCCTAGCTGCTCATTCTTTGGCTTACTCACTGCTATTGATGGAAAAAATGGCCAGTCCAGGCTCAACAGCACTAGACTAACTTTCAACACCCTAATTCTAGAGTTCTAAAGGACAAAAGTGATTTGCCTCGATCACAGGATAGATCTTTGTTTTAAAACTTTTTCAAATATAACTTTAAATTTGGTATGATGCTCCATTGACTGGTAACGACTAGCATAGTGAATGCTAAGTCCCACCTTATGACCCAATTCAGAAGACAAGTTACACCTCGCTCATTCAGTGGGGACTGTGAGGAACACGGAACCTCAAGCAATGACATGAAATTAGGCAAGGGTTTCATGGACTCTACTCTAAGCTTGCAGCATATAATATAAATATATATATTTCTTTTATGGGTCACACCCAGCAATGCTCAGTGGTTACTCCTGGTGGTGCTTAGGGGACCACTGAACCTGGGTCAGTCGTGTACAGAAAAAATGCCCTACCATATACTCTCACTCCATCCCAACTTTACCAATGGCATCTACAACCAAAGCCAATGCTTGCTTGTTCTCCTGACCTCAGGAAGGAAATCATCGAAGCAGTTGGCAGTTTTTCTTACCTCTGAGAAATCTCTCACACCACAGTAAGTCACAGCTGAGTTCCTTGGAGCCATAACCAACGAGGAAACTGTACAACTGTATAACCTTGAGATATTTTGTGTGAATAAAGATGGGTATCGTTTAAGGGTGCTGAATATTTTTATGCCATTAAAAAACTGGGCTGTAGGGCTGGAGAGATAGCACAGCGGGTAGGGCGTTTGCCTTGCACGCGGCCAACCCGAGTTCGATTCCCAGCATCCCATATGGTCCCCTGAGCACCGCCAGGGGTAGCTCCTGAGTGCAGAGCCAGGAGTAACCCCTGTGCATCACCAGGTAAGGTAAAGGTAAAAAGGTAAAGGCCCTCCCGTTGATCGTCGATTTGCTCGAGCGGGCCCAGTAACGTCTCCATTGGAGACTTTGTTGTTACTGTGTCTGGCATATCGAATACTCTGGGTAGCCTGCCGGGCTCTCCGAGAGGGGCGGAGGAATCGAACTCGGGTCGGCCATGTTGGCCGCTTGTAAGGCGAACGCCCTACCCGCTGTGCTATCGCTCCAGCGCCTTCCACCAGGTGTGACCCAAAAAGCAAAAACAAAACAAAACAAAAAACAAAACAAAACAAAAAAAAACTGGGCTGTCCTAAGGTGTCAGGATAGGAAAGAAGAAAAGGAGGGGAGAACAGGAAATGGAGTAGTGGCTAGACCTGAGGTGCTCCAGGGCTGAAACATGTGCAAGGAAACAAGTTTCCTTGTCTTCCACTTCTTGGTGGGAGAAAGTTTGGTAGGTAGCTGGCTGGGGAACTTTTCAGGGAAAACCGTTTAGGGCATTCCAGAAGTTCCAGATTGGGTAAGACACATAACACTGACCACAACTGACAGCCAGATGGGTTAACTGCCTATGACTTTCTGTGGCAATTCTCCTTCTGATTTTCTAGGACATTGCTTAGCTAGAATGGCCTCTTCTCTGTGCTATGGAAGACTGAGAAAAGAACGAGGAACTAGGGCCCAGGAAGAAAGAGCTGGCTCAACTCCTTGGCAGGTGGGAAGTCTGGCCCCACACTCAGCCCCCAAACAAATGGAAGGAAAATGTCATTATCCTAGTGGGTCTCAAAGAACGTGGGAGAGACAGAACTTTAGATCCTTTGCATGTAATTATCCTAAGATTGTCCAAATGCAAGAGGTTTGTAATGGCTTAGAAATCACTGACAGGGCTTTCCTGTCTTCCAAGGGTTGTGCACACCAAGTCTAAGCTATGAACGTTTCCACGGGAAACCACGTGATGCTGGCAATCAACCCCGGCTCCCACATGCCCTTTGTGGCATCTCTAGCCTAAATTTTGTTCGCTGAAATGTATCAAATCACTCTGCCATGTCAAATACACAGTAATCTGGCTCCTTTAATCCTTGCCTTCATTTGTCTGTAAATCAATGGCTTTATTTATTGACTAATTTATTTATTTTCGGTGGTTGTTGTTGCTCCCAGGAGCAGTGCAGTTTCTAAAATTAAGGCATGAGAATATGAAAATCATCATTTTTTCTGGGAACTCCTTACCATGCTATAACATCGACAGCATAAAACTTACCAGGGCTCTGGCTTTCCATGTCACTTCTAGATGCCGAGTTTTCACACATTTCATTATACTTCTCAGATTCATCCTTCTGGAATAACATATTTGAGTATTTAGAACGAAATGAAAAGAAATCTGCTCTTGGTTTGGAGGGACAGCACTGTGGGTAGGATGCTGGCCTTGCATGCAGCTGACCTGGGTTCGATCACAGCATCCTTATGGTCCCCTGAACCCCACCAGGAGTGATGCCTGAGTGCAGAGTCACAAGTAAGCTCTGAGCACCGTGGGGTGTGGCAGCAAAAACAAATCGAGAATTTGATTAAAAAAATAAATAAGAGAAATCTGTTCTTACTCTTCTGCTTGCGGGGCCTTTGAGCCACATCCAGTGGCACTTGGGGATTACTCCACTGTGCTCAGGGGTGACTTCCAGCAATGCTCTGGGGTCTCTAAAGGTATCTAGGATCAAACATGGCCTACAGCATGCAAAATATGCTCTGTTCTCATTTTACACACTAAGCACCAAATACAAACATGAAATGATGCATGTTTGCATACTCATTTTACTTGTTAAAGCAATAAATATTTCTATGCATAGAAAATCATCATTTTAAAAGTAGAAGCAGATAGTGAGTGTTTTGAATTGTTAATCTGACTTTCTAAAAAGGTAAGGTAGACGAGGAACAGAAATTCAGAAATTTGCTCAGGTGAAATTCTGAGTAAATCAAGAATCACATTTCTGGGCGAGAGAGCCAGGCTGTTGGGCTGAGCGCACTAAAAGCAGGCTTTGCGTTGGGAGACCCAGGTTTGATCCTCAGCACCTCATGGTTCCCTGAGTACTGTTGGGAGTTGCACCCGGCACAAATATAGAGAAATAAATAATCACATTTGTCAGATTTCCTGAGGCAATAATACACTTGGTACTTGTTTTCGATTACATTTAGAATTTGAAGTGAGTAAAGGAAATTCTAATTAAAAATTTTCTTCTCCTGCTCATTTCTTTCTTCACTCTACAAAAACAGGTCGTCTGTACTGCTGAAGTATATGAAGCGACTTCAGGGTTTTTTCATAAAATCACACATCGTCTCACCTATCTGAAGCAGTTCAGACTTCTAGCAGCTCTGAAAGCCGCATTTTCCAGGTTTGTCTACGTTACCTGATGTAGATCACAATAGCTTCAACAGGTTAATTCAGGTAGGACTTCATCGCAACTGAACACCTCCCACTATACCTCACTCTTCTTAGCATTTTCAAAAGAATATACATCACAATAAAAGTAAAAATACTTTATTGCATCTGAGATATGCCATAAATGTTAAGAGGGAGAATAATACCTTTTTAAACAAAAGCAATTCTGTTTCAAGAAGGGTGACGCGACTCATAAGGTTGGTCCAGGATTTCTCATTCACCATCACCTGTCCTTTCAGTTTCTCTTCTAAGGAGTCTATTCTGCTCTCGATAAAAGCCAATTTCTCGAGCTTCTCTTGGCATTCAGTGAGCATAGTCTGCAGTGCTATAATCTTGGGATCAAGTTTTAAATCCTAAAATGATTAGAGAGATCACAAATTGTAATACACAAAAGCCAAAATTTCTTTATAGATCAACATACTCCCATTTATTGCACCATCTCAACCATAACAGCAGGCAATAAGCAGAAGCATCAGAACTACTTTTATTGCATAGTATTCGAGCACTTGGTACAATGAAACAATCAGTGGTCTCTTGAGACAGCTCCTAGCACAAAACTGAGAGGGAGTGACGGGTCGAGGAGAAGAAATACACCAAAACTGCTCATCTGCCATAAACAGGAGACAAGCCTAATGGCTACCGAGTAGTTTTTTTAAATACCAACTGTGCCAGAGAGTTTAAGGGTTAGAGTGCTCACCTTGATGGAGCAAAGCCCAGCACAATGTCTAGCATTGCAGTCTCCCTCACCCTCACAAGCACCAGCTGTTAATATTGCCTGGCAATCTACCTGTGATGTATTCGATATGCCAAATACAGTAACAACAAAGTCTCCAATGGAGACGTTACTGGGCCCGCTCGAGCAAATCGATGAACAACGGGAGGACAGTGACAGTGACAGTGAATGTTAAACAAAAGTTAAATAAAAATCCAGCTGTATGTGGAATATACAAGTGCCACATGATACAAAAGGCAGGAACAAGTCTTAGCAGCTGAGGTTAGACACATAATGGATCGGTGGCAATCAAGCCAAAGAAACAGTATTCCAAGAAAGAATAGAACAGCGAGGGAGCTAAAGGAAACTAAAATGTTACAGTAGTGATCTTCCCATTCTTCAGAACAGGAAACCGATGTGGAAAACCTTTGCTGCACAAAAATAACAGCTCTAGCCCTTATTAGATTGCATGGGCCTTAAAGCTGAGTACTTACTGTGGTGCCCAGAACACCTAGTTTCCTAAGCATAAGCTACAAACTGAATTATACTATCAGATTTGTAGGGTCTATACATCTAGTGCAGTATCTTAACATAAGCTACAAAAGGTAGCTGAATTACACTGTCAGATTTATAGTGCCCAAAATACCTAGTCCAGCATCCTAAACATAAGCTACAAAAATTACCTACTGAATTTCTACTGTCAGATTTCCTGATTGTTAACTAATGGTCATAAAAGCAACATGTTCTCATTAAAAATTCTAAAGGCTAAAAATATTCCAAACTTTATATGCTGAAATGACCACACAGACCAGAGGAAGAGGGAATGAAGGCTGTGAAGTAGATCCCAAATACTTACTTCTTGGTCAGTATTGACTTCAGCATCCTTCATTTCAGGTTTCTTTATTTCAGAAGCTTTTGCATCACACGTATCACAGATTTCACTAGTCTTCATGACAGGTGCTAATGGTTCATCGGGAACATTAATAGCATCTTCATTATACAAGTGACGGATCACCAGAGCTTGCTTCTACACAGAGGAAAAGTTAGCAGAGTTACCTCATGAAGGTTTTCCCCACACAATCTCTTTTTCAACATAAACATCGTACTTTTCGAAAGAGATGTCCTGTCTTCCCTTTAAGGCTGTCAGAAGTTTCCTCATTTATAGTACCACACTCGATGCAATACTATACAGCCTATAAGGACTAATCTCGGTGGAACTGGGCAGATACTCTTATTTTTGACCACATCCCTGGTCCTTCCTCTATACAAATATACCAATCATACAGGCTATTATTCACATTTTAGGAGTGATATATTTAAGGTTATAATCTTTAAGCCAATCTTAGGGTTTGTTTTGTTTCTTTTAATCTCCTTTGTGATGTCTAGGCTTTGTTTCAAATGTCACAGAGTATCAGATTCTATGTTAACAAATCAAACTTCATGGTGACAAAAGGCAAAAACCCCGAGAGTACAGCATTGGGTCCAGCTCCGCGTTGATGCAGGATCCTTCTTACTTCTTTTCACATATTCCCGTGTTTTAGAACCACACAGACAATTAAGAATACATGTTCAGGACCAGTGGGACAGCTCAGAGAGCCTGTGAACATGATTTGCATGCAAGAGCCTCAGGTTCGATTGCTGGTACTAGCGGGCCCTGAGCACCACCTGCAGTGGCACCCTCCGGTGAACATAAAACACATTTCATGCCTGTCCTGTATCCTTCCTACAGAATACAAAAATGAGGAGCAACTTGAGGTACAGAGAGACCACATTCAATTTTGATTTACCAGATCTAATCACGAAAGGATCCTTTCATTAAGATAACTAAGATAATTCTTAAAACTGTATGACATATTTTGTTTAGTCCTACCTTCCCTGAAGTCATAAACCTGCCCGTGATATCAATGCCAACGGATTCTGCAGATAATATCTCACTGGTTTTTGCAGGTTCTGGCTTATTAGAACTGCTTTTCTTTCTTTGTTGTGTTTGCGACTAAAATAAAAAAAAAGTATTATATGGCTTATTAGAACTGCTTTTCTTTCTTTGTTGTGTTGGAGTCCTAAAAATAAAAGTATTAACATATATTTGTGTGAAAGCCTGATGTGTATAAAAACTCTACTTTCATTAACATTATCACATATAAAACGTGGTTCCCAAATAATGAGTTCAAAGAAACTACACGTAACATGCTAAAGTGTTTATGAATAGCACCTATAAATCACAAACTTAACAAGTGACTTGCATTTAAAGCAAATATAAGGCATTATAAAATTACCCAAAATGTATGAAAACAGATTTACATTCTGCTTTAGTTGTCTAGGTTTGTTTTTATTTTCTACATTAAAATCCTGCATTACTTTAGACTGCATTAGTCTTGAAAGTGTTTCATTAATGTCTTGAATATTTCTGGTGCCAGGGATTAATACCAGGGCCTTACATTTGTACAGAACAAGCTGCTCAACCTCTGAAGTTATATTCCCTATCATACTTTTACCTTCTCAGAACCAGCCAACTCCTTGTGCTTTTTCATCACATAATTCAAAATATCACAAATAATCTGGATTTTCCACTCTGCAAATCCAGACTGGAGAAATTGCTTTTTCGTCAAGATTGGTTTATAATTAAACTGATCACGAAGAAGCTACAAAGAAGGAACAGATCAACATGAAAAGAAGCAATGATTTTCTCAAACCCAAACAGCTACCTGGTACTCAGGTCTTCTTAAGGAAAAACCTCAAACCTTAGCTCCAGAATAATAAAGAGACTTATGAAGAAAGTGCTGTCAGTCAGAATTACACAGGTGATGTGTCCAGGCAGAGAACTAGGTGGCTAGGGATATACCAGATAACAGAAACTGTTCAAAGTGAGAAAAAACAGTAGTTATCAAAAATTTTGAGTATCCTTACAAGACACTTGACTGATTGGAGGCTGGAGGGGGGAGGAAAAAAAAAACACACTAGTCAAAAAAAAAAATCAACAGCATAGTTTTATTTGCTTTTAATTCTTTACTGCATGGTTTTCAGACGAGTCAGTAGGCCCAAGTTTCAATTTCTGCCTTGTAGAATGAAACAGACTGGAATAGCACTTTTCAGTACCTACTCTGCAGAACTCTAAAATTTCTTAAAATTGCTTCTTAAGAATCAAGGGGAGCTTTCTGAGCTAAGAGACAAAGAAAGAAAAGACTTAACAGAGACTCTGTGAAAGTTCGTATTTTATCCACTGTCACTCTCTATTTAAAGAGAAAAAGATTTGCTTCGATAAATGGGCTTTATTATTTTAAAACAGTTAAAGAAAAGACATTGAATATGAACAACATTGAATGATTCCAACTAGGACTTTTAAAAAAACTCAATCATGCAGATTAAAGCCAGATAGGGATACTAGAGTAGATATAGGATATTGTTAAGACCTTAGGAACATAAAATATCAGAATTATAGTTCCTTCTTGCAAACGACTAAATTAACCCACAACTCTCTGAATCATAAACCTTAATCCCCCAAAAGAACATTGCTAATTTTTATGAGTCTATTAAATATCACCAAAAGTTGACATAAAAAAGAACTAATGATAACAAATGACAAATATTGATTAAATGTTCCATGATTAAATGTGAAGCACTAAGCAGACTTTTGAGTTACATCTTGATTATAATCAGAATTGCATTTGGGTGAGATAAGGGCATCTAAACATACTGAGAACTGGAAGCAACTGCTATAAAATTGTTCAGCTAGAACCACAACTTTTCAAACAATTATGGCTTTATAAATTCAAAGTACCTTATAAACAGTGTCTATAAAGCACAAGTCATTCTTGGCCAGGAGCTCTACGTTGGATTCCAGCAGGAGTTCCGCGATATAAGGCGAGTATGAGGTAAGGGAATAGCTGATGATGGGCAGAGAGGCGGCCGTATCACCCTTTACCAAACTGTGTCGGGGAAGAAGGATTTCAAGTGAGCATCACTGCACCAAGTGGGAAATCAGCGAGAGATAAGAAATGCTGTATTAAGAGAACTCAGCAGTATAGTCACAATGATGCTCCAAACGCACAAGATCCTTGAGATTTCACTCCTCCCGGGCTCCTCGGCACTCAAGAGGATTTTAAAATTCTCTTGTTCATTTGCACTGAATATAGCTCTTTAGTACCAACAGTCTATTAGAGTATTGATTGGTTTTTCCCAGCGCAGACTTCTTCCACTAAATCTATTTTCTCCTGCTAGTAATACAAATGCAGTCCCTCAAGTACTTGACAAAAAAAACTTGTCTTATGACCATGATTTGCCTCTGATCACACACCTGCAAAAGTAAAATATCAAGAATTTTAGCTTACCCTAGACAATCCACCTCTTTAGGATAATTTAGTGAGCGAAGCACTTGTTCTAACTTCCGTAAGCTTCTCTTTAAGTCACCGGTTGCCATCATTTAACATTTAACATAATATTTTGTTCCAGCTCTTGAAATCAAAATCTAATTTTTCGCCTAAAAAAAAAGCACGAAACACTGAATGAGTCTATATTTCTGAAGTTTCTTTATTTTTCACTTCATTCATTTATTCATTTTTCACTTACCATGTTAACCTTAGCTTAGCTATTTTCCCCTAACTTTACTCTCTTACTAGACTTCACTTTCTTGCACCTACTATATCTTCCTGGTTTTCAGGTGCACTTCATTTCCCCCCAGTGTTTCTCCTTACAAAAAATAAGATGGCCTTAGGTTCCTGCTAACATGGATTTCCTGCCTCCTCCAAGTACGACTCGGGGAGATATATCATCCTAAAATAGTCTCCTTTGATGACAATTTAGGAAACTTTTTTTCTTGCTTTGTGGGTCACACCCAGCGATGCTCAAGGGTTACTCCTGGCTCTGCAGTCAGGAATTACTCCTGGCAGTGTTTGGGGGACCATGTGGGATGCTGGGAATCAAACCCAGCCACGTGCAAGGCAAATGCTCTACCTGCTGTGCTCCAGCTCCTAGGACACTTCTAGGACTATAATGAACTACTTACAGGTGGAGCCAAGAGCTGGAGAGAAAGCCCAACAGCTGAGCTCAGCTCTGCAGGCAAGAGGCCTGGGTTTAATCTCCAGCATGATCTCCCAGTTACATTAATTGCCAGCATGACTCCCAGCTACAGCTGGGGGAGACCCCAAGTGCACAACCAGGAGAAGCCCCTGAGTATCACCGCGAGTGGAAACCAAGCAAACAGGAATTGGAGACAAAGAAATTTAGCACAGGTTTAATGATCGAGTATTATTCATTATCTAATAAATAGTAAGATTTATTATAGCTAATAATATTTATTTCAGAGTTTATGGATCTGACCTCATATAGATGCCAATCTGATTTTTTGCTTTACAAAATAAAAATGGATACTTTAAAAAAGGGCTGGAGCGACAGCACAGCGGGTAGGCGTTTGCCTTGCACAAGGCTGACGCAGTCCACCCGAGTTAGATTCCTCCGCCCCTCTTGGAGAGCCCAGCAAGCTACTCAAGTGTATCTCGCACGGCAAAACCTGGAAAGCTACCCATGACGTATTTGATATGCCAAACACAGTAACAAGTCTCACAATGTTACTGGGCCCGCTTGAGCAAATCGATGAACAATGGGAGGACAGTGCTACAGTGCTACTTAAAAAAAATAAAATTACTTTGGGGGCGAAGGGAATTGGGCCGCATCCAGTGGTGTTCAGGGGTGACATGCAGGCCTCTGGTAGACAAGACATGTACACTTTGAGCTCTGTCTCCAGCCGTATGTGCATTTGGCGGCGGGGTGGGGGGGGGGAGGGCGTGTTATTGTTTTGTTTGGGCATGATTTGGTTCTGCAGCCACAACTGGTAGTGCTCAGGGGCTAGCCAGGCTCTGTGCCTGGACTGTGCAGTACCAGGGATCGAACCCGGGCCTCCTGCATGGAAAGCTGGACTTCATCCCTTTGGCCTTTCTCTGGGACCAAACAGAAAAGTTTAAATTTTCGTTTAAACTGCCCTCCGCTCCTGGCTATCCTCGTCGGGGCCCCTTGCAGGGGGGCGGGTTGAGTTTCCCTCCCTGCCCCGAGCAGAGCTCCGGCAGCCGAAGACCTCCAGAACCAACCACAACCATGCTGAGACCATTCTCCACACGCATGAAGGTACCGGCAGAGGAACAAAGGCATGCGGGTCCCGGGGCTGAGATCTCCAAGCTTGCTCAGATCAGGGCTGAGCATCCTCCACCCAGATCCTCCATCTTCCAGTAGGCAGGGTTGTTCCCCCACCCCTCCCGTGCCGTGTAATCCCATTAGTGGCCAAGACCCAGAGACTATAAAACCCAGCTCCCAAAAGAGAACAGCCCAGAGTCTCCTGCCCCCACGCCTGGCTGTCCCCTCCCCAGGGGTCCCTTGGAGGCAGCGAGTTGAGTTTCCCTCCCCACAAGTTACATATGGCTGATTAAATGGATGCTACTTTTTGTTTCCTTCTTCTAAATACCACTGAGACACGAGCAAATGATGAAAAGCCACAAACACTCAGCAAAGCAACACTAACTCAAAAGGATTCCACATGACTGAAAGTATGCTTCCAACACCAACCTGGGCTAGGAAAGAGGATGCATGAGCGATAATCAGGCAATCCCTAATCTACCAATTTATAGGGAAATGAATGGCAAAAAGTAGGTTCAGAAAAGACATATGAACTGATGGGTAAGGCCACGGGAACTGAAATAAAAATGATTATATAGAAAAAGTATGTATATGGAGAGAGCTACTAACACCTTGATTTTTACTTTCCCTGCAACAAGCTTATCACAGCAAGATCCATAAAACAAAAATTTATTAAGTTGAACTATTTACAAACCACTATAAGACATAAGTACATAGGGGATAGTCACAGAGTAGATTCAAAACATATACTGGATAAAAGACTGTTCCCAAACTATACAAAGAACTCTTTGTATAGCCCAGTCAAAAACATTGAAAATATGTCAACATTTCTATCACCTCCTAAGAGATACAAAGAAGTACATAACAAAAGATGCTGAGTACTTATGTCATTAGGATAACTTCACAATTTTAACAGAATGAAATACTGTAGACCTATTGTAATGTTTTGAATCCAGTAAAAAAAAAATATATACAACTAATGTTACAAATGCTTTGAGGATATGGGACAAGAACTCTAGTATTTATTGCTGGTTAAAAGCAAATGGTGATAGTCATTTTGGAAGAATGAGACAAATCTTCACAAAGCTCAACAGTCTGCGAATACAATCAGCAAGTAAGTTAATAGATACTTGATTTGAACACTTAAATACAAGGAAGACTGCTGAGATGTTTACAGTGGCTTCGGCCATCATCAAACACTAAAACAGGGGCAGGGACAGAACAGCCCTTAGGACACAAGCTGGGCCTGGGTCCAGGACCCCATGGACTCCCTCATGCTGCTACATCACTGGGTGCAACCCTAGGGGATCCTCTGTTCTAGTTTTTGCAGGCCCTCACTTTTTTGCTAGGTTGTAGGCAGACAGACACACGGCAGCACTCTTGGCAATGAGATTTGGGGGATGGATTCAAAGAAGTTGCCAAGGCATGCCCTGAATTCTGAAGGCTTGATGGCACTGTCCAGATGGAGGAACCAGGGCACCACCTGGGGAGGATCCCCTGAGAAAAGCAGCTTCAAACAGAACAAAGGTTAAGATTAAGGAAAAGATGCCCCAGGGCCCCTCCTCCCTTGGGCCACCATAGAACAAAGCCCTTGGGGAGTAGGCAGGCCTTCAAGCCAGCTTTGTAAAGACAAAGGGGGGGGGGGGGGGAACAAAGATGCTGGCCAGGTAAGTCTGGAAAGAACTAGAGACCAACAGGAGCTTAGAGGCCAAACATCTGCACACAAGCTCTACCACACAAAACACTACCATACACAAAAAACAACAAAAATCACCAGTTCCTGGAGACTTCCATACACAATACACTGAGGCAGAACCAGGAACTAAAAAGCAGGAATCAGGTCTTTCACTGCTACAGTGAAAATTTCCAGAGAAGTAAGAGCAGGAGACTAGAATGAAGCAGGCCTAAATGACTGATTAAGATATTAATATGGGAGCTGAGGCAATAATAGAGAGAGTAGGGTTCTTGCCTTGCATGTGGCTGACCTGGGTTCGATTCCCAGCATCCCAGATAGTCCCCCAAGCACCGCCAGGTGTAATTCCTGAGTGCAAAGCCTGGAGTAACCCCTGTGCATTGCCGGGTGTAACACAAAAGCAAATATATATATATATATATATATATATATATATATATTAATATGAGCTCATGCTGAGCATCACAGGTTAACTTCTTTAGCTTCATACCAGAATATTGGAATATGTACAGATATGTATAGAGCACTCACTTATTTTTTCTCTAGGCTGAGAGTGAGTGACAAAAATGCTTCAACAATCCAGTAGCAAGGGCCTACCTGTTATCCAGATCTTGGAGTGGAATGCTCTTCCGAAAGAAAGGAGGGAGGGAGGGAGGGAGGGAGGGAGGGAGGGAGGAAGGAAGGAAGGAAGGAAGGAAGGAAGGAAGGAAAGAAATCCAATCATGAACAAATTTGTAACTGTGTATCTCAGTGTGATTCGATTAAAAAAGTATTTTTTTTTTTTAAATTGGGCCAAGAAGATATAGTACAAAGGTTAAGGACCTTGCCTAGTAAGTGGCAGCCTAACTTTGGTTAGAATCCCAGTATATGGGTCTGAGAGAGTACTGCAAATAAGGTGCTTGCACAGCATATGGCTGACCAGGGTTCTGTCCCTGGCACCCCAAGAGCAAAACCAGGAGTAATCCCTGAGCAACCCCAGCAGCCCAAACACAATGGGGAAAAGGAGAAAATCCTCATGAACCAGGAACGGCCCCTGAACACAAAGACTTCCTATCATCCTTCTAGAGTTTATTCTACATGATTTTTTAAAACTTTAACACCTTATGCTATCTTTCCACTTTCCACCTAAATCCTGATCAGGACCTCAGTCTCCTATCACTTCAACTTCCGGTCACAGAACTCCTGACAATAAAGCACACACCCTTGGAACACAGCCTCTAGCTGCTGCTTCAGTAAACATTCTGAACAAGAGCAGGAAGGGAGTGTGGCTCTGGAGATGGAGATGGCAGGATGAAATGTGGCAGAAGGCCTTACAGGTCTGAAAAATGTCCAGCTAATGCTCAGCAGGCCCAGCTAAGGGTCACACGCATTTTACCAGTTCCTTCACACCTCAACATCTGGATTACCAATTGATGACATGAATCGTATCAAGGGGAATCTAAAGAGCTGCTCTTTAGATGTGACGTAGGTCCCCCCTGTTAAGATGGGACTTCATTTCCTGCTTCATTTCCTCCAGAATTCATTCTACGAGGCAGCCCTCCTGCCCACGGCCCTTAAAACACAACCAGGTTCCTTTCGCGTTGCAGCGAGCCATCAATCAATGCCGCCACCCCAAGGAATGGTCCTTAAATTGGTGGGGTTTATAATGATGAAAACAACTCCACTCTCCAGGTCATGGTCGATGGGTAAGTGACACAGGATATTAATTTAAGAATCACGTATGGAAGGGGCCAGAGCGTTAGGACAGTGGGTAGGGAATTTGCCTGGTAGGCGGCATCCCATATGGTCCCCCGAGCTGATCACGAGTAATGCCTAATGCAGAGTCAGGAGTAAGCCCTGTGCAGCACCGGGTTTGGCCTCAAACACCTCAAGGTAAAGGTAAAGGCCCTCCCGTTGATCGTCGATGTGCTCGATCGGGCCCAGTAACGTCTCCATTGGAGACTTTGTTGTTACTGTGTCTGGCATATCCAATACTCTCGGTAGCTTGCGGGGCTCTCCGAGAGGGGCGGAGGAATCAAACTGGGGTCGGCCATGTTGGCCGCTTGTAAGGCGAACGCCCTACCCGCTGTGCTATCGCTCCAGCCCTCAAAATAATATTATATAATAACAAATAATAATAATGACGACTCATGCATCTAGACAAAGGTAAGGGCGATGAACTGTATGCAACTTCTCGCAGATCTAGACAACCACTGATCTAAAAGGTATGGACTAAAGCCTGGAGAAAAGAAAAACAGAAAGCTGAGGCGGGGCGGGAAGAAGGAAGCATTTAAGCTGGATCTCGTGCGTATGAATAATTAAAAAAAAATAAAGCATTTTGCTCTAGAGCCATCACCCCAAAACCAGAAGGGTGTAACCTCCGCGGTGCTCCAGGAAATCGGAGAGGAAAGAAAAAAAGAGAAATGTAAATAGGGAAAAGGCGAGCTACTCTCCTCTCTGCCTTCTATGCGGTATTTTCACAAGCCTCGGGTCGCTCCAAACCCGCAAGGGCGAATTCGCTCTGGAAACTTCCCGACGCTAGGTCCCAGCCCTAAAATACCCTCTAGGGTTTGTGGTTTTTTGAGGGTTTTTTTTTTCAGTTCGTTTTCTTTTTCCTTTTCTTTTATCCGAGGCAAGCAGGGTCTCTGGCTCGGACCCCTCACCAGGTTTCAAAGCAAGGAGAAGCCCACCTGCCCGTGCGGCCGCTTCTTCGTGCAGGCAGCGCGGAGCAGCGATCGATGCGCGATCCAGCCTGACCTGCAGCCCCTGCGGAACCCACAGCCCCCGGTCCCGCCTAGCCCAGCCCGGGGGAGGTAGCATAGACCCCCGCAGCGCCTCTGCAGCTCGTCCTGCAGCCCGACGCCTGCGTCCCGGCGCGCTTCTCGCGCCTGCCGTTTGTATTCCGAGCGGTGGAGCGTTGCCCGCCGAGCTCCGCGGCCAGCCCCGCCGGGCAGGAGGCCCGCGATTCCGCGTCGCAGATTCCACACTCTGACTAGGGCGCCTCAGGGAGGACACCGGCCCACCTGCACACCTTCGCCCGCGCGAGTCCGACCCCTAGGCGACAATGTTCGAGTTTTGTGGAGGCTGACTGCCCCGCGGGGCGCGCTGGAGGCCGCGACGCGCGGAGGAGACGCGCGGCGAATCTGCCGCGCCGGGGACGCGGCTACCGCCACTTCCGCGCTCCGAGAGCCACGTCACTTCCGGCAACAATAGGAAACGTCAAAACTCCCACAGTCGGCCGCGCTCTGGCTGCGGCTGCGTCGGCGCCGCGGAGCTCACCCGGAGCTGCTGGCATTCGCGCCGCGCCGCTCCTTGCCCTTCCCTCCTTTGGTGTGATTCGGGACACCAGGAAGCGGCTCCTCCATGGCTTGGGCCCCCGTTCCCGGCTGAGCCATTTTCTTTTTCTTATTTTCCCTCCGCTTTGGCTGAAAGCCCCCGCCCGGAAGGCCGATTCGTCGCGGCGGCGGTGGGGATCGCAGGTCGCTCAGGTACGAGGGTCGGCGTAACTCTTTCTGAACTCTTGCTTCTCTTTTTCCCCTCGACACCCACTCCACTTTCCTCGGAAATAAAGGCACAGCCGGTGCTCGCCAGTTGGCAGAAACTTGCCAGCCCCGGGACTTTAGGGCCAATGACAGCGCAAAGGGTCTTGAGTGACAGCTGGGATGGCTTATGAAAATACGGGACCAGTGTCAGGAGGCGGGAACTGGCGTTCTCCTGGTGTTTCTTAGGCCAGGGAGGGTCATAGGTCAGCTTGGGACCCCCGGGTCAGGACCCTGCCACGTCCTGAAGGAAAGCCAGGAAACGTTGAGGTTTACGATTCTTTGGGCAAGTGTTGCAAAAGGCAGAATTTTCGTGGGTCTTCTTGGGGCTCTTTTTAAAACGTATTTCCCAGTAATATGAATGCAATGCTTTAACAGTTAAAGGTCGCGGTGGATTCCCGGTGACTTTAGTTGTCAGACTCTAGTTATGTAAAATTAGGCAAATTCTTCACTTGCTTTCTCTTTGTCTGTCCCTCTGACTGGGCTCAATTTCCTACACGGAGAATGCTGTTTTGGGCCAAATCACAGACAAGAGTCCCCACCCTCGGTCTTTTAAAGATTTAGTTTCAGTTTGATTTTATGTTCTGTCTGTAACTAGCAGGTTAACAATTTTGTTTACTTGCCTTAACAAATGCAGCTTTTCTTTTTCCTGGGTCCTTAGGTGAGTGTTTCCCGATCAGTAATAGGTGCATGACCTTTCTCATTGCCCAGTGAAGCTGATTTGGTTTCCATGGCAGTTTTCTGGACCCTCTCCACATTTAGGGATGTTCACCATGTTTCCTCCATAGGAAGCAGGTTTCTCCTCCATGAAAAAAATGGTTTCCAAAATTGAGCAGATTTCAGGAGGAAGCATAAAGTTGGCTCTTTTTTTCTTTTTTTCAGACCTGAACTTGCCAGTTTCATAGAATCACCCTGACAGTTTAATGAGCTGTTACAGTGGTTGCCTATTGCTGAGTAAACGCTTTCTCACCCAGTGAAAGCCTGTGACTTCCAACAGCAAACACTATTTGACAGTTTCCATGTTTCAGGAATTTAGCTGTGTCTTAGCCGAAGGTCTCTGATGGTATGTTTCTCCTGAGTTCATAGCCAAGCCCTACTTGGAGACTGGGGTCTCATCTGAAGGTTCTACCCAGAGGGAGAAAGATCCATTTCCTGGGGTACAAGGTGACTGTTGGTAGCCTTGAGTTCTGCCATGGACTATTTATGGTGAGCAGTGCAAGAAGAGCAACCAAGGCTGTCTAACCCCAACAGAGCTAGAAACATCACCTCTGACCTATTGTATTTGCTTTCAGTGAGGCCTTGCAACCCAGAGTCACTGGGGAAAGGGTGGCACTAACTGAGGTCATCATGGCTGTTAACTGTAGGGATTACCACATAGAAATAATGGAGCAGGGGTGAAAGTGATGGTACAGAGGTGTTTGCTCTACGTGCAGCTGACCCTGATTTGATCCCTGCACTCAGCCATGCCCTGAGCCCCTCCAGAAGTGATACCGGAGCACAGACAGGTGTGGCCCACCCCTCTGTCTCTCGCTCGCCAAAGTAATAACTGAACAAAAAAATATGAGAAATGTGCCCGGCGAAGGGATATGCCAGATTATACAGAAATGAAGTTGCATTGACCTTTTCTTTCTTGGAAAAAAAAATACATTTTTTAAAAATATATGTAGCAATTGAAAAAATATTTTTTTCCTGCTAATCATCTGGAGGCCTTTTTCTTGTTTTTGTTTTTTGGGGTTTTTTTTTTTGGAGGGCGGTTGGGAAGTTTCGGCCTGAGAAATAATGTGTGTAAGAAAGAGGAATGTGTATGTTTTTAGGGTCCATATGGGGAGAATGTATGCATGACTAGAGATTGTGTCTTCCTTACCCATGATGATGAATCTGACAGAAAAGGAAGGAAAAATGACATTTAAGGCAGAAAAGTTAGGAAAGGCTAGAGATAAACCTTCCTAATCTAAAAAGAATTCAAGTCAGGGATGGGGGAGAAAGTACAGCGAGTAAGATTCTTGCCTTGCAACCTTGCAAATCAGTGACCCAGGTTCCTTCCCAGTAATTGTCCCCTGAGCGCCACCAGTAGTGATCCCCGAGTACAGAGCCAGGAGAAAGCCCGAGCACAGTTGTGTATGGCTCAACTACCACAGTACCCCAAATTTTTTCTTGAAAAAATCATATCAGTAGCAGCCGTTATGCTGGCATTCGAATGTATGTGTCTAAGCGTTAGGTGACAAGTACCATCTTTCTCCATTACCTTGCTGCCTATCAGCACCATCATTTATGTCAGTGAACTCTAAGGCGCTAATTGGAAACGAAAGATGTGGGTTTCAGGATTTGTTGTGACACTGTTTTGGCCATGACCCATTGTAAAGTTGCCTCTGCTTCTTCCATGTTTGAAAAACATTGTAGATCCTTATCAGTAAAGTACTATCCAAGTTTATTTTTTATACCTCAGGTGCCTTAACACCAGCGTGAATGTGTTAGTTTTCAAATTGTAAACATCACTTTTAAATCAACTTGAGTTTTATCTTAGTAGGTTATAGTCAATTAACTATTGTATGTCTGGGCTATTGGATGTCTGGAAAATTATTAATGGATCTTTGAGGTGATCATAGATGGATTACTTTCATCCCCCAAAATGTCTTTTGGCAGTAACTGATCAGTAAGCCAAAATATGCATAATAACTTTTGATATATGCCATTGGAATATAAATCCCATGGGGGGAGAGCCCTAGGATGGAACTTCAGTGGTACCCAGGACCACCAGGGCTACCCCTCCCACACACACCCAGCAGTGCTGAGGAGACCCTATGATGCTGGGGATGGAATGAAGACCCCTGGCGGGGGAGGGGGATCTGTATCCCAGGCCTCTGAGCTGTTTCTCTAGCCCACAAATGTCACTTTTAAAAAAGAAAGGACTTCTATGAAAACGGGAGGAAAGAAACATGTTCCAGTGAGATCACACCGTCTCTAGAGAGAAAACAGAGGTTCATGAAGTAAAAGAAAGAAATTGCACACCTCAAGTTGGGATGCAGGTGGTCGGTTCCTGGGTGAAATACAAGAAGGTAATTCTTTCTGAGGATTTTTGTTTGTTTGTTGGGGGAGCCACACTCAGGGCTCAGGGCTTACTCTTAGGTCAATATTCAGGAATGACACGTAGTGGGCTTGTGGGACCATGTGGGATGCTGGGGAGCCAATGTGGGTCGGCTGCGTGCAAGGCAGACACGCTTCCTTCTATAATATTGCTCTGGTCCCCAAAAAGGTAATTCTTAAATATCAGTTATCCTGTGGTGAAATTGGTTTGTCACGCACCCTTTCACTTAAAGTCACAGTTTGCAGGAGTCTGTCCATGATAGGAAGTGAACACTCATCTAAAGTTGTCTGTGGACTGGGACCAGGGTATAGTTGAGCATTGGCCTTGCATGTATGAGGCCTTGGGTTCGTGCTCTACCATAAAAGGAAGAAAGAAAAGGGAGGAAGGAAGGGAGGAAGGGACGGATGGAGGAAGGAAGGGAGGAAGGGACAGAGAGAGGAAGGAACGGAGGGGAGAAGAGAAGAGAACAGAGCCTGAATTGGTATTTGCTTTGTTTTCCGTTGCTCGGCTCTAACTGTGTTTGTTGGCGTGTAGTTTGTTGTTTTCCTAGGAGAGGGGTGAGGGTTTGCGTCCATGGTAGCTACTGACCCTAGCAGGGTGAGTAAAGAGACCAGTTCAGTCCAAAACCGGGGGATTAAAAATAATCCCTGTGAGCAGCATGAGCTCTTAATTTTTTTGAAACAGTTGAAAGAATCAGGCAGTGGAATATCACTTGCATAATAAGCGGAAGAACTCAAATGAGCCTCAAAGTCTCAGCTTCCTGTTACATCTGAATGGCAACCTAATATTCTCATTGGTTTTGATGCCATTTGATAACACTCATTCTCAAATCAAATTTGACCAAAAAGCAAAACCTTCAGGAGAGAAAAAAAGTAATATTGTAAATCTTCTTGGATTGAAAGAAATGAATAAACCAAACAATAACAAATGGTTTGCCTTTCAGTAACAAAAACTGTTCTTCCTGGAACCTGATCTTTAAATTTAATGAGAGTTTTGTTGTTGTTGTTGTTGTTTTAATGCATTTAATGTGCCTCCTGATCTCTTAGTACTGAACTATTTCCCTTTTCCCCTCAGAAAGACCTCCTTGTGGGTGCCTTCTCCTCTTTGGTTCTCTGCATCTGTGGCCTTGAAGTTTTAGGGGTGTGATTGGTTATCTGGTTTTTCTTTTCCTTTTTTCATCAGTTTCTGTACTTTGTTCAAATTTGGTTGTCCTTTTGACAGTAGAAAAATAAAACCCAGGCTGCCCATTGGATTAGAAAATACCCCATAGAAAATATTTTCTCATATTCCATATTCTAATGGCATTCAGATCACATGGTTTGAGAAATTTAAGACCTAAAGTAAACAAATGGCTATTTTTCATTTCTACTGGAGAAAAACAGGAAATTTCTGAAAAAAAGGAAAACTCAATCTCTCCAACCTGAAGTTTTAATAGGGTTCGCATCTTTAGTGATTATTCTTTAGTACACATCTCAGCTCTTTGTTTGACATAGGAAAATTTCTGGTTTTGCCTCTGTTACTCTACCTGTTCCCCTATTTGGGGCCACACCCAGCAGTGCTTGGGGGTTCCTCCCAGCTCTTTGCTCAGGGATCACTCCTGGAGGGGGTCAGGGGACCAATAGTCGTGGGTCAGCTGTACACAAAGTAAACACCTTAACCTCTGCCCTATCTCCCTCTGCCCTCAAATGCAACTTTTAAATCAGAATATTTTTCTTGAAGACCTCCAGCCTTTTTCCCCATCTTTCACTCTATTCTGTATCTAAATGGTGAGTCATTCTTTTCTCTCTTTTTTTTCCATTTTATTAAAACACTTTATTTTAAATGCTTTGTTTACAAATTTGCTCGTGATGATTTGTTACAGGCA